TGCCATAACCTGCTCTATTCAGAAACATATGGGAAAAGACATTAAATAACCACTGCAAAGCATAGACTTCTAGTATTAGTGCTACACACTGCATACCCCTATTCATTATTCCACCTCCCCTATTTAATCTATCATTAAGATTCAGTGACCCTACACTAAATTTAAAGCAGATCCTTCCTTCCTCCCATGCCTAAATTCACATACTTTTCTAGTTGTAGATGCCCTCAAGTATTACCCACTCTACAGGGTTTCTCTAATCTCAGCTCTGAGCTATGTCGTGCTATACAAGCATGGAATTGCCGTTTTATATCTTTAACTATGAGGGCTTGCACTTAAAAAAACTAACACTGTGCTATTTCATTAGCAAAAAAAAAAACTTATTTAGTAAATTCCAACAGTGTAGGTTTTTTTAAAAAAATAATAATAATCCCACAACATTTCATATTCTATAGTACTGCCAACATTATCTTTGTCAAACGCTTTGACAATACATCTCATGAATTGTTATTAGTTTTATCAACAGCAGTACATCCTAACCAAAGCTTGCTCATCCCTATCCTATCAATCAACCCAGGCATCCATTTAATGAGAAAATAAATGTTGTTTTTTTAAAGTAGAAAGATTATTATTTATGTTCACCTTTGTGTTTTACAATTTAAAATAGCAAACACATATGCTCTATCTGGCAGTGTCACAACGTGTTCTGCGAACTCCACCGGTTTGCTGACCAGCCTGGCAGAGCAAGCATAGATTTCTCTTGGGTATGTTGGTATGTCTGGGATCTGAGAACTTGACAAGGCATTGGAGCCAATCCTTCATCAGTTCTCCTGCACCACATGCCTGAACTGTTCCCAACACACCACCTTTTGGGCTGTTTTGGTCAAGAGGGCCACAGAGGTGGTAGTGGTGAAATCCAACATTGGCTCTCCCTCTCTGAGGTAAGAGATTTCACTCCTACTAGAGACGTTAGGTATGTAGCTTTAGCATGTTAAAACACACAAAGATTTGAACTAATCCAATTCTACAAAGCCTTTGCTTTATAGCAAACCCGAGAAAGCCAAATAACTGAACACACAATTTCGGTTTTATGAAATGGAGGGATAGGTCAGTATTAAAGTTATCCAAAGAAAACAGCAGAGGGCTACTGAAGAGTTCACTTTTTCTATAGGGTTGGGATATGGGGGAGGCAATTATATAATATTTATAATATTTCCAGTCTGGAAAGATTAATTTGGCTTTGCTTTGGTTCTAGACCTTCCCAATGTTGAAATGCTTTTGTTCATGCTGCTCTATCAGTCTGGGATAAATGGAAATCTAAAGTAGCTCCATCTACTTTTCTATCTTTTTTAACGGGGTGTTAGGGGAGAGGTAGTACAGTGGTGCCCCGCAAGACGAATGCCTCGCAAGACGGAAAACTCGCTAGACAAAAGGATTTTGCGTTTTTTGAGTCGTTCCGCAAGACGAATTTCCCTATGGGCTTGCTTTGCAAGACGAAACGTCTTGCGAGTTCTTGTGAGTTTGTTTCCTTTTTCTTAAAGCCGCTAAGCCGTTAATAGCCGCTAAGCCGCTAATAGCCGTGCTTCGCAAGACGAAAAAACCGCAGGACGAAGAGACTCGCAGAACGGATTCATTTCGTCTTGCGAGGCACCACTGTACTTCTGGTACTACCTGCCGTGCTCCTTCTGGGGTAGTTTGTCCGCCTTTGGTCCCCACCCTGCACTCAACCCTTACCTGTGGCTCCTAGCAGATGTCAGCATGCAACAGCAGCCAGATCAGGGTAGCTGATGGGTCTCAACCCTTGGTGACTTAGGAACTTCGGCTGCATGTGAAAACAGGCTCCAGAGGATTGAACAGATGAGACTAATCGTCGGTCCAACGGTCAATAAGGTGGTTTCTGCTCGTGTTGTAGAGGGAAGTAAGGGGCAGATGGGGCTTATCAACCTGGCAAGGTAGCTCATGTAAGAGAAGGAAAACTCTGGTCCTAAATCTCTGCTGCAACGCTTGCACTGATGGAGCACTCTGCTTGTCACTGTCTCCCCTCTCCTTTTCCCACATGCTCTTCTGGGGCTTTTTTCCCCACTGCCACCCTGAGGCAATCTGGGGAGGACATGGGGGAGGAGATGGAGAAAGCCCTGTTGTGCTAGCTCAAGTCCTTGTTCAGGCTTCTGCTAATAGAACCTGTTAGCTGAATCTAGCCCCTCATGTCCAATGGAAACGTACCCCCCAGGTAAGTGTCTAAAGGTTTGCTGGGGAAATGTGGGTATAAAAGAACCTGTTTTCCTTTCAGGTTTGTCCTGAGAATCAAAGTTTTTGGTCAACAGTTACACCTGCACTGTTACAGGTTACAGAATTTCACCTGATCCATTAATTAAAGTGTTTGACTATGTGGATGTTTCAAGACTATTCAAAGACATCATTGTTTTTCTTTGATTTGCTGTCCCAAATAGCTGCACAATGGAAATCAACAGGATTACCTTTCCACATGTGGCTGGTTTGTTCAGATTTGGGATGCTATGATAATGGAGAAGATCACTGCACACATTACTGACTCCACAGGCAGCCTTTTTCTAAAGCATATATGGGATGTTGCTTCCCCTTGGTCTTCAGACAGGGCACTGGCAAACATACACACACACATCCCAAAAGAAAGAAAGAAAGAAAGAAAGAAAGAAAGAAAGAAAGAAAGAAAGGCAAAGTATTTTTTCATTTAGTGTCTTTAAAATGTCTTTATCACTTTTTTCCTATATGTATGGTTCCACTAGCCTTTATACTTTTGATATTTCTTTACCATATAGTTTGCCGCGTTACTTTATTCAAACCTTCCCACTCACCCTTTCCCCTGTCAAATGTGCCTATCTGCTGTTACACTGTAATACCATTTAGATTTCATACTGGCCCCATATTCAGTTTTATATTCAATGTTTAAAAACTATATTAAAATAAATAGCAAAGGAAAGGGTAAGATGGGGAGAGAAATGATTTGAAACAGCTGCTACTATTAAGCTTGTACTTTGCCAGGATAAGGCATAATTGCACCAACAAAATCGCATAAGCACACCAGAGTGGCCTAGCTCACAATGGCTGAGCAGTCATGAGTGCAGTACACAAATCTACCCTTGCCAAAGGGGCACAATTGGTGGGGGGGGGGTGTGACTGAGAACTAACACAGCCATCTGGTGCACGGAGGCTCTCTCAGGCAAACATTAGGTCATAAAAGCCATAACAAAAGACTGGTATGCAATAAAAACCACAGTCATACAAATATTATGAATGTGTTCTGAAGTCCTCTACATGAAGTTCATAATACAGCACACACAGAGATACATGGAGTGCATCAACAGAGAAAAACAGCCACTGACATGAGCACAGGGGGCAACAGAAGCCTGGGGAACCAATTAGCTCCACACAGAAAGACTGAAGAAGCTGGAAGATCGGTGACAGTGGGGAGTCAGTGGCTTTGAGGGTACTATAGACACTGGCATACTATGTTATAGAGGAATTCTGCACTCCCACAGTCCTGAACAATGAAATTCCATCTGTAAGAACACCGCAAGCAGATGCAACATTAAACGCGGCACTATAGATGACAATTCAATGCAAAGGAAAAGGATTTTTTTTTTTAAAAAAGATGAAAATGAAATCACTCTGTACTTCTCTATCCGCACTGTAATGGATCCAGAGTCAGCCCAAAGAAAATGGAGAATATACATTCGCTATATACAGAGAGAAAGAACTAGGAGAAAGGAATACCTCACAACTAGGAATTATAGTTCATTGGTCAATAAATAAATATATTAATCTAGGTCCCTTCCAACTCTACCATTCTATGATTCTAGATAATCATAAATTTGGGTGAGACTGATGTTGTGCATCAGTAAAAGGGGATTAAATGAGAAGGGGCAGAACCATGTGCACCGCCTTGAGCTCTTTGGGATATAAGCACAATAATTGATTGAATAATTAAATAGTGCACAGTTAAACTAGGGAATTAGTTACCACAAAATGTGGTGATGACCACCAATTTAGATGGCTTTGAAAGGAAATTAGAAAATTAAGGAAAAATATAGCTTCAATGGCTACTAGTCATGATGACAACAGGCCTCTGTGTACCAGCTGCTGAGAACAACAGTGGGAGAGGAATATTCTCCAGGAGGGTGGGATTCAACTAATGAGTCTCACCAGTGGAAGCCCTGCACAAGGACTTCTGCTTGTGCAATGAGGCTTTCAACCTCTCCTCCCCACCCCATTGGCTCTGGAGGGGTGAGAGAGACCCTGGAACAGGGTGAAGGGAGGAGTGGGAAGATCAGTCTGTCTGGCAAACTAAAATGCTTGGGTTGACAGAACAATCAGAAGAACATGATGCTGAATTCCTTCTCAGATGCCTTGTTTATGGGCTTCACTGTATGAAACAGGATGGTGGACTAGACAGAACTTTGATTGGATCCAGCAGGGCTCTGGTAGTATAATAGAAAAAGTTGCAGTGCACTCTTTAGTAGATTTAGGAAGAGAAGAAGGAATAGAAGACATGCAGAAGGTTATCCTAAAAGAAGCAACATATATATAACACAATGACATGCAAAATACTAAAGATAGTTTGAAAACATTCAAAATACATCAAGTATATTACAATAAAGGTTATAAAAATGAAAATTTATTTCAAAAAAGAAGTGAGGGAATAGGAGAAAGCCTTGCAATATTTCCTGTAAGCCCTTCAAGCATGTGAGTTAGTTAGTTAGTTAGTTAGTTAGTTAGTTTGTTAGTTAGTTAGTGAGTAAGAAAGAGAAGGTAAGGATGCACTTCTTGTGTTCAGAGACACTGTTACTATATTCCTGTTGATTACCAGTCAACAGTAGGGGAAATCTAGCACACCCCCATAGTCAGCAAGGAACCTAGATAGAGGGTTCAGATAGTATTCCCAGGAAGATCATAGATCAAAGAATCATAGTTAGAAGGGGCCATGAGGGTCATCTAGTCCAGTCCCCTGCAATACAGAAATCTTTTGCCAAATGTAGGGTTCGAACCCACAACTCTGAGATTAAGAGCCTCATGCCCTACGTACTGAGCTATGCCCTACGTACCAAGCTCAAGTTTCTATCACAGTATTTGCTTACAAACTTTACTAAATGGCACATAGGAAGATGCCTTATACCTATGTTCATCTAGCCCAGAATCACCTGCTCTGACTGGTAGTGAGGTCTTTCCCATCACCTGCTAATCCTTGCAACGGGAGAGGTCAAGACCCGGAACTGGGATTTTCTGCAAGCCAACCACATGTTCTAACTGTGAGCTATTGTCCCTCCCTCTATGATACCTGATCACTGAAAACTATTCCTTTTGTAAACATGAGGAATTATTTAGCGTAGTGCTAAGCTAAAGTCCCATAGTGGTACACTAGTCAACGGAGGTGGCACTGTGTGACGGGGGTGGGTGGCACTGTGGTCTAAACCACTGAGCCTCTTGGGCTTGCTGATCAGAAGGTCAGCGGTTCAAATCCCCACGGCGTGGTGAGCTCCCGTTGCTTGGTCTCAGCTCCTGCCAACCTAGCAGTTTGAAAGCATGCCAGTGCAAGTAGATAAATAGGTACCACTGTGGTGGGAAGGTAAATGGCGTTTCCATGCACTCTGGTTTCCATCACGGTGTCCCGTTGCGCCAGAAGCGGTTTAGTCATGCTGGCCACATGACCCGGAAAGCTGTCTGTGGACAAACGCCAGCTCCCTCGGCCTGAAAATGAGATGAGCACCGCAACCCCACAGTCGCCTTTGACTGGACTTAACCATCCAGGGATCCTTTACCTTTACCTTTTACAATAGCAGCTTACAATAGCAGAATGATTTGCACAAGAGAAGGCACAGGAAGCCAAGCCCAATACTTCTTGTTGCACAGCCAGTTGCACAACAAGATTCCATTAGTGCGCTATTGCACTGGATTTCATACTCTGCATTATACTCACTCTTATGCTAGTGCAGCAGCCTTGTGCTAGCAGTCGGAGAACGCTGAATCCAGACCTTAATATCTGAATGAATCGGAGCATACCATGTGCATAATTTGCACCAATGTTTCTCTATATACCAAATGGATAGTTTGTATATAACTTGTGCACTGTTAACTATTTGCATAATTTGTTCAACTGCTGAATTGTTTTACTTAGCACATTATGTAACAGTAAATCAAAATATTTCTAAAACTTTGCAGATTCTTTCCGGTGCATTGGATTTTTGTCCCAATATCCACACCATGGCCTTGACAGTACATGTATATGGTGGGAATCAAAACAGAAGCCTCTTAAGGAGATTTTTCTCAGTACTGCCACCTTTTGGCAATGAAATAAGCAACCATATGCAGATTCCATGGGAAAGTATGAAGAGGCAGAATAATTGGGGCCAAAATAGCAAAGAAACTGGGAGATCTGCCTCCTTCTAACTCCCTTCGCCACCACCCAGAAAAGCTGTGTATTTGATGGGAAGAAATAATGGTTCTGAGACAATCTAATCAGAGCAGAATGGGAAAAGAAAAGCAGCCCCCCAGCGGTTTCTCCCAGCTGTCTTCTTAACTCTCTCGCTGCACTCCTAGGAAAACAACTGGGTGGAGAAATTTTGATTGTAAAGTTAAGAACAAACAGAGAGACAGAAACAGAAGGTGAGAGAGCTGTTGCTCCTGTTAATGTACAAGCCCATGCCAGGGGCAGACGTTGGTAAAATGGCGCCCTGAGCAAGGACAACATTTGGTTCCGCACCCTAAATATTGCTTTTTAAGGGCCTTCTCAGTAGATACCTGTATAAATATTGGGATGATGATATTATTATTATTATTATTATTATTATTATTATTATTATTATGCTGATGAGTCCCCTCACTTTGTTGCTCTGTGTAGGGGAACTGCTTACACCACCCTAAATCCAGGGCAGGCCATAGCCACATTTCATGGGGGAATATGTTGAGAGCCTGACCATGTGAATCCCGGCATCTTGGCAACTTTGGTTCTTAACATCAACTGTAAATAATATAAATTTCAGAAGAAATAAGCTGAACTCCACTCTACTAGGGCCACCAACACTATCAATGTCATCGATTCTTCTATAAAGTTTGCAACTTTCAAAACTTGTATACACTATAAAAATATTCTCATCCAAAAATGTTAACTCTCTTATGCTTTTTAACAGCTCTTGGGCATGGATCGCACTGAGGCAGTTGAGGTGCTAGACCAGTGCTGGGAGGCAGTGATCGTTTGGGTGGGCCAATAAACTGAAGCTGAATCTAAAAAGACAAAGGTGTTAATATGCCCCGAGTTCTCACATCCAGGAGGTGGGCAGACAGGTTGGCATTGTCCCTGGAGGCTCAGGTGCTCTCAATGACTAAGAGTGCCTTTTATCAGCTGTCTGGTTCCCCAGCTATGGCCCCTTTTGGATGACTTGGCCACTGTTCTCCATGCGCTGCTAACTTCCAGACTGGATTATTATAATGCACTTTATGGGGGCTGCCCTTGAAAATGACTCGGAATCTTCAATTGGTCCAAAATGCAGTGGCCAGATTACTGGCTGGGGTTCGGATCTCATATAACCCGTTTTAAAGCAGCTGCACTGACTGCCAGTACGTTTCCAGGCCCAATTCAAGGTACTTGTGGTAGTGTTTAAAGCCCTAAATGCCCCCCAAACTGAACTGCCCCTCCCCTAAAGACCCTCTCGGGTGCTAAGATCAGTGGAGGGAAACTTCTTGGTTCTTCCACTGCCCTCAGAAGCTCAGAGGGTGGTGGACTGGGAGAGGGCATTCTCAGTGGCAGCCCCTAAGTTGTGGAACTTGCTTCTCACAAAGATATCTAGCATCTTCATTATACAGCTTCCAGCAAATGCTGAAGACCCTCCTCTTTACCCTGGCTTTTGACATTTGAGATGCATATTTTTAGTGCCCATCTTAGTTCTGCAATTTTAAGTTGGGACCTTGAAGTGAAGGGTGGGTAATTAATTGTAGTAATAATCATAATAGAAGTAGACTGGATCTAGACCTTTCTTACTCGAAGTTAGCCTACTGTGTTCCTATTACCTCCATCACTTTTTTTCCAGATGCAACTGCTGCAGTTGCTTATTTCATGAGGGTTGCAGATCTCTCAGTAGAGTGTTCTTTGATCCCAGATCACAATGTACAGTGGTACCTTGGGTTAAGTACTTAATTCGTTCCAGAGGTCCATTCTTAACTTGAAACTGTTCTTAACCTGAAGCACCACTTTAGCTAATGGGGCCTCCCGCTGCCGCCGCGCTGCCGGAGCACGATTTCTGTTCTCAACCTGAAGCAAAGTTCTTAACCCGAGGTACTATCTCTGGGTTAGCTGAGTCTGTAACCTGAAGGGTATGTAACCTGAAGCGTATGTAACCCAAGGTACCACTATATTTGTAAAGCACTTGATAAAGCAACTAGCTTTAATGCCATAATCATTTAAGGCCCAGATACTTAAAGACCATCTCTTGCCCACTCTCTAACATCAGCTGGTGTGGTCCTTCTTTATACCTGTATTTGAAGTAAGTTTGGGAAGACCACCTGAAATAATTTTAACACTCTTGGCCCTTAGAGACCTGTCTGGTAGCTTCATAGTTGACCTCTCTGCTTTGACTTATTCTGGCATGTGTATGACTTGTATTTTATCTTCTATCTAACCTGCACTTAGGGTTTTTTAATATATAATTTGGATTTTTATATATCATTTAGCTGTCTTGGGTATCTTTATATAGAAAGGCAAGATATAACTTGGCTTTTAAAAAAGTTAAATAATCCTATTTTTATATTCTGTCATCTTGCAACACCTTTCAATCAGTGCTTGCAACGTCTAAGTCTTAGATTCTAAGTGCTTCATCTACCTGAGCTATACCAGAACTGCTAGGTGCTCTGCAGTTACACAGACAAATGGGTTGGAGGTGCAACTGATCGCCATACATTAATCAGATCAGCTGCTTTATAGTTTGATGTTTCAAGGTCTTACCACTGGGCATATGCTTCCAGAACATAAACTGTAAATGATTATTTGTTTCATTTCTGGCCCATTCTTCCCTAGAGGAATTCCAGATGGTGAATATAAAGTGATCCCCCTCTCAACCACCATATGAGAAAGGTCACCCAGAGAACTTCATGGCAGAGAAGAAATGTGAACCTTATATCCCCCCTTATATTCTCCCCCACTTCACCCCCTGCCCAAAACACACCCAACGGTGTCCACTACATGACATTCTTGACAAACCAAAGGTGCAGAACTTAGACAAATATTCTCCCTACCATACAACCTATCCTGCCTAACAGAGTATGCCTTCAATGCACTAATGAAAATGAACTATGGGACACGGGTGGCGCTGTGGTCTAAACCACTGAGCCTTGGGCTTGCCGATGAAAAGGTTGGCAGTTCAAATCCCCGCAACTAGGTGAGCTCCCATTGCTCGGTCCCAGCTCCTGCCAACCTAGCAGTTTGAAAGCACGTCCAAAAGTGCAAGTAGATTAATAGGTACTGCTCTGGCAGGAAGGTAAATGGTGTTTCTGTGCACTGCTCTGGTGTCAGTGTTCTGTTTCACCAGAAGCAACTTAGTCATGCTGGCCACATGACCTAGAAAAACTGTCTGTGGAGCGGACAAATGCCGGCTCCCTCGGCCTGTAAAGCAAGATGAGCACCGCAACTCCAGAGTCATTTGCGACTGGACTTAACTGTCAGGGATCCCTTTACCTTTAAATCAACTATAGCTTTAAATTTGACTGTTTTACATACTTCTAAAGAATATTGGGATTGAGGGAGCATTCCCCCTGTCTTCAAAAATGGGCATATAAAAAAATGGAGGTTGTCTATTGTTAAGTGCATTCTTTTAAATGTCTTCAATATACATTGTTAGAGATGTTTTATCATTACAAAAGCTTTCATCTATGATTAAAGAGTCTCAATTCATTAGCAAATTAAACATTCTGTAATAGAGGCAGTCACATGTTGGCTTTGTATCATTTACGTTGCACCAGCTGGACAGAAATGCATGCAATTCTGGAAGTTTGTGGGAAATGAAATGTTATTTTTACAAAACTTGAAACTTGGGTCAGAATGATAAAA